TGAAGCGCTGATAGCCCGAGAGATTGGCTCCGACAACATTGCATTACGTACAGTGTTGACCCTCGTGGCCAGTTTGTCAGCGGGGAGACCCGCTCTGACCTTTGGCTATGTGCCGACCAAGAAAGGGGCGCTTCAGATGACGTGTGCAAGCCGTCTATCTCCTAAGGTACATTTAGCTTCACAGTACCTTATCAGAAACTTCTTCCGCATTGAGACTGTAGTTTCAGTCAGATTAGCTGAGAGTGTTCATGAGCTACCTCTGGTTACTGAAGCCGACAGCTGCACATTGGTCCACTATGTCAACGATGTGAATCCAGGTTTTCACGATTATGAAGCAGAAGGCACTGCACTGAATATATACTATATATGTGGATCAGCACATTCGAGAATCATCCAATGCCTAAAGTCCACTAAACCTCAAGCAGGTTTTGATCAGGGCATGATAAGATTTGAGGAAGTGGCGGATACACCGACACCGGATGGAACCACAAGAGAAGCCTCACAAGTCGAACCACCACATGATAATGGACGGCTTTCTACGATCTACGAGGAGAATCAGAGGCTGATCTCGAGTCACATGTTATGGAAGTGTGGTATGCAGAGTTACAAGAGGAAAGGGAATTGCTGGAGGCATCTCCGCCAGGAGACCTCTTTACCATACCCACACAGATGGTTCCAGATCAAAGTGTGCTGATCACTGTAGCTGATGAACAGCGGAGACACCTGCCCAAGTGGGGGCGCGCTCACGACTCCGATACCGAGGAGACGTACCACGTCCCAATGTGCACCATGGTCGAAGACGGCAACTACTGACTGGACTCAGACGAAGATGGTCAATATGTCGAACTCCGCTTCGTGGCAGAAATGTCAAAGGTAGTCTTGTCCAAATAACAACATGATACTAGATGCCGACCGTGTGACCACTATGCGAGTGTACGTTACCGCCGCTGCAAAGCGAGCTGTGGTCGTCAAGGAAGACGACCTCTTCGCGAAAGCTGACATCCAGGCGAATCCCGATGAAGTATCTAAGGCCCTCTACACCGATCTCAAGACATGGTTCGACAACAAGTGTTTCCAGATGCAAGATATAGCTACATCGTCGAACATCATGACTTCGAGGTGCGTGTACACATGGAAGTTTGTGAAGAACGAGAAGGGCGACATGGAACGCATCATCAGATTACGCTTGGTACTCCGAGGCTTCATGGACCCTGAAGCCTTCGACGTAGAAGCCTTTTCGGGAACAGCGCGGTGGTCGAGCCAGAGGCTACTCGCTAGCACGGCAGCGTGCAAGAAGCAATAGATCATTGCTCCCCTTGACATCAACATGGCCTTCCTGAGAAGTTGACCTATCAGGAACTTGCTGAGGCTACGGGTGAAAAGGAACGCGTGGCATGTTTTACTCTGCCGCCTGGATCGGCCACGGTGCTTCGAACTCACTCAGGATTCGAACGCAACGACGAGTCAAAGCATTGCTTGCAGTGCTTGGAACCAGGCACGGGCACCAAAGACGCACCACGGGCTTCCCCACTAAAACTCAGAAGGGCCACCAGAGGTCTTTGTCTCCGACCCGCGTCCTGCGACGAGGAGTTCGAGACGAGCAACAACCTGCTCACGGCCAAACCCGTCGATGATATCAATATGGCCGGCACTGAGGACACCATTGACAAGCATGTCAAATGCGTAGGAGACACCCTTGGCAAGTGCAAAATCAATTAGCACATGTGCACCAACTGTGCTGTGATATAAACCAAGGATGAGGACGGTAATGTCACTCTGGACCAAGAGGAATACATCAAGCAGCTCCGTCCTATACAACATTCTGAACTTACCAGCGCCGACGCTGACGCTCAGGCATCCAAGATGGTTGCAGACATCTTTGGCGGCCTCAGGGGCGCGCTGGCGCATGCATTCATCATCCAGGCGCCGTTGGTGGTGTATGTTGCATCTGTACAACGTGTCCAAGAACCGACCAACATTCATGTGCGACGACCGAACGCGATCACCAGGAAGCTGCAGGCCTGCCCGAAGAAGATCGTCTACCAGGCGATGGCCCCTACGGGCGAGGTCGACCTGCACGGCGACTCCGGATACCGACGCCTGGGTGGAGACGCCGATGACGACGTCAAAGGCTATGGTATTCGCGGGGCAAACCTGCTACGACGTGGAAACACGTCATCCGGTAAACCTGTCCTTCACTTGATCGATGCGCACTGCAAGTCTCGCCGCTTGCAGGTCAGCTCGAGCTATTCAGCAGAGACACTGGCAGCAGCCCATAATTTGGAGGACTGTCATCCCACGATTGTGACTCTGCACGAGCTCCACGCAGGGCCGCTCACGCCCACGCAGTTGCAAGATGTACTTGGGTTGGGTGGCCTGAGCATCAAGGTCACTTTGACCGTAGATGCTGAGTCTGTTTTTAAGTCCTTGTCAAGCATAGACTCGAAGAAGCCGACGGAGTGACCCTTTTAGGACACATCAGTTGGATACGACAGATGATGGAGCGTGGAATCGTGCACAGCATTCAGTGGTGCGACACCCGTGACATGACCGCGGATGGTCACACCAAGTGGAGCATCGACAGAGACATGCTCCTACAAGTCATGGGAGGTATACAGGCCTTCGAACATGACTTGAAGAGTCATACTCCATATCGGGCCGGCCAGACATCTAGTTCTGACGCCGCCTGAGGAGTACTGTAAATACAGAACTGTACAAGCAAGGCAAGTTGCGAGCGGGTTCACCTTCCTTCTGGCCCGCCCCTTTTTCTCTGTCCTTGTGTATATTAGCTGCTGTGCCTGCTGTATAGGGGCGACGGGCTCACGCTTCGTTTCCCTCCCCCCCGACTCTAGAGCGAACTGAGGGACGTAAGGGGCGGAAACGAACGTGCGCCCGCGGCCGCGTCGGCTCAAGCGGCCGGCCGCCCAAATACGACTGCGCCTCATCGCGAGGCACGCAATCGTTATCGAGACCAAGAGGATTCTCCTATTGCTTAAGATGGCACATCCTCTCCTAGTGGGAGTGTCGCTACTACGATACAACAGAGCTGGAGCTTGGCTTCGCCTAAGGCGAAGCTGTTGGCTGGGCCTCCCAGCCCCCTTCAAACTCCCTGGTCGTCTGGTCGTGGTGGTATTGCTGCTCCTCGCTCCTAGGTGTAGAGCAGCAAGGAGTTGTTCCTGGGCAGAAGCGGGCCCAGGCTCGTGCTGAGCAGTTTCCAAGAAGCTGGCCCTGATGTATTACTTGATGCGTTTTTTCAAAATTGTTGTGTCCTACGTTCGGCCGTAGAGCAGCAAGGAGGCTCGTGCACTGTCTTCTTTTCAGGAGCAGGTGCCGGTGGAGGAGGAAACCCAAGGCCACGATAGAAAAATGGAGGGCCTGGAGGATGAGAAGGAGCAGGAGGAGGTTGATGATTATGATGATGATGATGATGATGATGATGCTGATGATGATGATGATGATGATGATGATGATGACGATGATGATGATGATGATGATGATGATGATGATGACGATGATGATCATGATCATGACCATGATGGTGATGAGGATGGGGAGGAGGAGGAGGAGGAGGAGGAGGAGGAGGAGGAGGAGGAGGAAGACGAGGGGGGGGAGGAGGTGGTGAAGGAGGGGGAGGAGGAGGAGGACGAGGAGGACGCGTTGCCTGCGGTTCTCCGCAGGGGCGTCGCAGCGGGGAGTCCCCAGTCCACGCTGCTGCCCTTGGTTTTTTTTGGGGGGGGCGCGGCGCTGGCGGTCGCTCCGCGCGTGGAAGCCCGGGCAAGGATGCGCCGGGGCAAATTGGCTCCAAGCGGTCGTGGGCAGAAGAGGGCGACCGCGGAGGGGCGGAGGCGAGCCAGAGAAACGCCAATCAATCAATCAATCAATCAGCCGTGTGGCGCGCGGATGAGCAATGCAAGGGGGCTTGCGAGAGCGGCTGTACTCTCGCGCCGTGCTCTTTCAGACGTTGGCTGGCATGACTGCAACTTCTGAAACATTTGTATTTCTTTGTGCGCATGCATGCACAGCGTCGGCGGGGCTAGGACGTGGACAAATCCGTTCCGGAGCGTTCCCACAGTGCCCGAGATATCTTCCAGGGCCATCGGATCTCAGAGATTCTCGATTTATCCTCACCCGATTAGAGCCTCGTCCGGGCCTCGTCTTAGAAAAATGGGCCCCTACCGCTATCCTCGTTTTCGCCTTTTGGGGCCTCCTGCGAGGCCCTCGTCGCCACCGCTGGATTCGCCTCGGAATTCTGGTCAGGACGCACCCCAGGAGAGGTATCGGTTTTTCTTGGCTTCCCTGGCGGAAGAGGGTGAGGCGCTCAGGACGTGAAGTTCTTGACGCTGGTCGGCGTCACCCCACCATACTCATACTATGTGTGTTTGTCGCCCCCCCCCAGGGGCGACGCGCGCACCGAGAAATCTTGTAGTATATGCGTCGTGGGGGGCGCTGTCTGGCCGTACCGCTCGAGAAACGGTATACTACAAGATGGTTATGCTAGATGTTCGGGTCGGACGCACGCCTTCGAGGAGGTCGCGTAGTACTAGTATGTCCTCGTGCGTCCCAACGCGGTGGGCGTGTCACGCGGTGCGAGGCGGAACACGGTCAAGGCAAGCTAGCCGCCTTGTGTCGGAGCGAAGCCGGAAACGACCCCTCAGTGAAGTCGAGCTTCACCGATCGTCCACTGAACAGAAACGACCCACCCAGCGAGAACGGACGAGAAAACCAGAACCGCGGGACGAGGACGGAGGACGGCGGAGGAGCTGGACGGCAAGCCGAAGTGGGCGCCGAGACCAGCAGAGAGGCCCATCAGCAGCCCTCCCGCGAGAAGGGTGCACGCGCGGGTGATCTGTTGGGGCGCCGCGGGTCCCCGCAGGTGGCAGCAGGAAGGAGAGGGCTGGAGAGACGGGGGTCAACGACGGGGGGAGAAAGCAGATGACCAGAGGCACCGGCAAGGCAGCAGCCCCGCAGGGAGTCCCCGAACGGGACCGGCGGACTGTCAGGGGCGGTTGATTCCGCGCTGAGGATGTTCGACGGAGGAAAATCGCCATAAATATAAACATGTGGCGCTCCGCGCGGATTTCTTGGATCCGCGCTGGGCCCCCCCTGGCGCGCTCCGCGCGCTAGGGAGGTGGGTCCAGCGCAGACCAAGAAATCCGCGCGGAGCGGCAACAGCTTAATTATGTTTATGGTGTACTTTCTTCTTCTAGAGGATGCTCTTTCTGTCGATGCAGAGAGGGTGGGAGATCGGGGTTTGTTTGTCGATCGTGGGCAGCGGGCTCACTTCCTGCGGCCTCGTGCTGCAGAAGTACTCGCACGCGGAGAACGCCCGCAAGGGTCAGCCCGTCCTCTTCTTCCGGCAGCCTCTCTGGGTCGCGGGGCTTGTCGTGTTCATGTGCGGGCAAGTCGGCAACGTCGTTGCCATGGCCTTCTCGAAAAATAAACAACGCCATAAACATAAAATTGTGGTGGCGCTCCGCGCGGATTTCTTGGGTCCGCGCTGGGCCCCCCCGCCGCCCCTGGCGCGCTCCGCGCGCCAGGGAGGGGGATCCAGCGCAGATCCAAGAAATCCGCGCGGAGCGACAACATATTATGATTATGCCGTTATTTCTTTTTCTAACTTCGCCCCTCAGACGATGCTGAGTTGCCTGGGCGCCCTCTCGCTGGTGTGGAACGCGCTGTTCGCCTTCTTCCTGCTGGGGGAGCGCGTGCTGGCAGCGGAGCTTCTCTCGATGCTGGGCATGATCGGGGGCGTTCTCATGGTCATCTCCAGCACCCCTGTCGTGGAGGAGCCGGTCCACATCCACCGCAACAAAACAGTGATGGACGTGGTGTCCACCCTGATCGACATTCAGTTCTTCGGGGTCGCCTTCGCTTTCGCGCTGATGCTGACCGTGGGGATCTTCGTCGTGCAGCGCTACATGCCCGGGCTGGAGGCGATCTACTGGGCCTTCGCCACGGCCGTGGCCGGTGGGTATACCGTCACGCTGTTTAAGTGCACGGCCAATGTGTTCGCTGGGGTGAGGTTTCCCTGGAGCGACGTAAGGTTCTACATGGTTGTCGGCATTGCCGTGGTACTCTGTCTCGCGCAGGTTCGGCTGCACGTAAGAGTGACCTTCCGCCAGAGTGACCTTTGGTGCGGGCCCACAGGGGCCCGCCTTGCACTGTCTTGCGCGCCTGGGTTTGCCCCCAACCTCGCGGCCCCCTGATGTCGCGCACCAGAAGTCACTCTTGCCTGGGCTCACTCTTGCGAGTAATTAACCGAAAGGTGCATACACTTAATCTGGCTCTCAAGAAGGGCAATGCCGTCACCGTGGTTCCCCTCTACTTCTCCATGGGCGTGCTGATGCAGCTCCTGCAGGCGGAGGTGGCCTACGAGGAGCTGGACACGCTGTCTGGGCGCAAGAACGTGGCGATCTTCATTTCTGGGGTGGGGCTGGTGCTGGCGGGCATCATCGCCATGGTCCGGGCGAAGATCGCTGCGGAGGAGGAGGAGGGGCCAGCCTTGGAGGAACAGTGCGAGGAGGCGGCTCCGTGTAGCGAGAGCACGCGGCTCATCGGGGCCGAGTTCGGCAGCAAGAAGCCCGGCAGGGCAGAGCGGCTCAAGAGCTTGTCGCACATCGACCCGAACATGTTCAAGGAAAGCTTCGGGGGCAGGGAGCGCAGGTACACGATCTCGTTTACGGGCCCCGTCGCCATCGGCTGACGCTCCCCCTCGTGCGCGCGGGCCCCCTGCGCCTGCCGTTCGGAGCCACCTGGGCTCGCAAGAAACAGTCCCGAGAGAGCAAAGATCCCCGTCCTTGAAGCACACGTGCGCAAGATTCGGTGACAGGTTGGAGGACATGCGGAGGGGAACCACACGTATGTTATCATTCGCTGGACTCTTCGCTTGGGCGTGACCGATGTTGCACATTGCTGCCCACGAACTGGGCCTATTCATGGCCAACAGGGGACAGTGAACATGGCCAGTGACAGCCTGATAAGGAGGTGGAGACGGATGGGAGATCAAGCGAGGGGAGATACATGGCAAAGGAGGGTAGGGAGGGAGGGTGGAGAAGAACAGAGTGAGAGAGGAGGAAGGAGGAAGGAGGTCTCAGGTTGGTGCCGTGCCCGCATCCAGGCTCCTGGAGTAGCTCCCGCTAGACTCCTCGGAGTGCCGTTGGCCCATCTCCGCAGCCCTTTAGGACCCTCTTTGAGGTAAGCTCTGTGGTTTGGGCACGTGAGGGCACCTATGGAGGTGTCTTGGGGGGCGTCTGGGGACCCGCCTGCAGTGTCCCGGATGTTCTGGGATCTCCTGGGGACTTCTTGAGAGCCTCCTTTTCAACGTTACGCTGGAGCGTCTTGTGCCTCCGGCCTCTCGGGGGCGCATTTGCGGGTCCATCCCAGGGGCTCCGAAACGGTGCGGTGACCACACAGCGTGGTCAGTCGGTGGGCATTCGGGGTGACCGCACGGACTTGGGACTTGGGTCGTTCTCCGGGGATCTCTCGAGCGACTGGGGCATCCGAGGTCCCAAAAAGGTGCGGTGACGGACCGTGCAAGCATTTCTGGGGGTTCCGATAACACCGCACGGTCTGTCACCGCACGGTCGGACCAGCAATTGCTCACGCTCTTTAGTGGCCTTGGGGGAACTCTGGATGCGCCCCCTGGATGGAAAAAACAGCCACAGACAAAAGCGTCGAAAACTTTCAGGGTTCCTGTGTCTCGGCGCCAAACGAGGACTTACCTGTAGATTTCCCATATCGTTTTCAGGGCCACCTAGGCCATGTTGAGAAGCTCCCCTTGCAGCGGACGCAAATCAGAGTTCCCCCGAATACCACCAGCCAGTATGGATCATTTCAGGCACACATTTTCACTGGCTGGTGGATGCGCTGCGGTAGGAGACGAAACACTTTGAAAGCGTATTGGATCGCCTCTCGGCACGGTCCTTCTGCGTTTCTCTAGGGGTATCAAGAACTCTCGGCCCAATCTTCTTCAGATTTGTTTCTATTTGCGTCGATCCCCGGCGCCCGAAATTCGGCGGAAACGCCCGTCGCGCTTTTTGTCGCGAGCCACTATGATCGCGCTTTGGCTCGAAGTCTGGAGGCCTCCGACCCCTTTCGGTAGCACCGGATATGTTACACCCCGCTGCTTGCACCACATAGCTTGCGGAACATGCATTCTTTCACGCAGACAATACACATATGAGTCGTGATCGAAACGATTGTAACAGAACGCTCGGAAGTTGAGACACGCCGCATCCGTCGAGGCATCAGGCAAATCCTGAGGTCGAGTGCCGTAGATCTCTCTGTTGGTTCAAGAACTTGCTTGGCCGCTCCTCCGCCGCTCTCCTCCGACAGCCTCGTTCCGGGTGTTTCGAGTGTTTCTTCCTGAGACCAGGGCTGAATCTAAACGGTGTTTTGGCGATTTCGTGGGCCGTTTTCGTTTCGATTTAGTCTTGCGGTAAAGGCGGATTGAAGACAAACGCGAGGGAAAACGAAAACAAAACGAAAACGAAAGACACCGTTTAGGTTCAGCCCTGAGAAGGCGTCTACCCCCCGACCGCCGGGGGCCAGTTCGCGCGTTGCCACCAGTGGTGTTGTGGCGATGGATATCGGGCGTGGTGGATGGCACACTCCGTCAAGCAGGGAGGTGCGGGCCGCGTCCTCTACCAATTTTGTGCGGGTCAAGGCCAAGGCGAGCACGTTGTTCGGATAGGAGGCGTCTACCCCCCGACCGACGGGGGCCAGTTCGCGCGCGGCCACCAGCGGTGTTGTGGCGATGGATATTGGGCGCGGTGGACGGCACACCCCGTCAAGCAGGGAGGTGCGGGCCGCGTCCTCTACCACTTCTGTGCGGGCCAAGGCCAAGGCGAGCGCGCTCGCTGTTCGGATCGAAGGGATCTGCCCCTCGACCGGCGGGGGCCAGTTCGCGCGCGGCCACCAGTGGTGTTGCGGCGACGAATCTGGGGCGCGGTGGATGGCGCACCCAGTCAAGCAGGGCGGCGCGGGCCGCGTCCTCTACCACTTTTGTGCGTGCGAGATGCGTGGTGCGAGGCCGCCGGTGGCCTCGGTCACGCGCGCGCATGCCCCGCAGCTTGAAGCGATGGATCCCACTGACGCTGCCCTGCGCTACGCGGGGCGGGGGGGGGTCGGAGGGGGGGGGTCGGGTTTCAGAGGAAGCGGGGGGGATCTTCCACGGCAAAGCAGCGGTGGATCGCGCGCTCTCTCTCTCTCTCTCTCTCTCCCTCTCTCTCTGTTTCTCTCTCTCTATCTCTCTCTCCCTCTCGTTATCCTTCTCTCTCTCTCTCTCTTTCTCTCTCTTTCTCGCTCGCTCTCTCTCTCTCTCTCTCTCTCTCTCTCCTTTGTTTTGTGTTTCTCTTTCTCTCTCTCTCTCTCTCTATCCCTCTCTCTCACATTATATATATATATATATATATATATAGATAGATGTATCCATACACATGTACATATACATGCGTGCGCGCATACAATATGTATGTATGAATATATAAATCATGCGTCGCCTCCCTTTATAAATGCCTCGGCTATGGCGGCGCGTGCACCAGCATAAGGCGAGCGCGACGGGCGCGCCGCTGGCTGCTCGGTAGGAGGTCCGCGCTCCTGCGGGACCGACGACGCGCGGGGGGAGGGCGGCATCGGGCGCCGACGCCCTGCCGCACCCCGCCGCGCGATCGAGCGCGACCAGCGGTCGCGCCGCCACCGCCACGCGCTGTCCAAAAGCGCGCGACCAGACGAGCGCCCCCAAGCGCGAGCCACACCCCACACCCCAAGAGGGCGGGCGCGGGTGGGACCGAGCGAAGCGAGCGCCCCAAGGCGCGAGCCAGACACACACCCCCGGGCGGGTGGGCACGGGCAGGACAGAGCCCAGGAAGGAAGCCGAGAGCGCCGCGCACGCGAGCCACCGCGCGCAGCACGCCCCGCGGGGCACAGGGTGGGCACGGGCGGGCAAGCGGAAGCCGAGCGCGCGCACATTTCCGCGCGCCTTGCGGGTTGACGCAATTATATTCCAAAGCCTGCGAGAACGCCGCGCGCGGGGGCGCACTCGCGCGCCCCCCCCCGCGACCCCGATGCGGCGCAACCCTTCGCGCGCGCAGGAGGGGGGGGGGGGGGGGGGGCGTTCTCGCGCGCCCCCCCCCCCCCGCCCCTCCGCGCGCGGACGCGCGCCGCTCCTGCCGATCGCCCCCGCGCGGCGCGGGCGCTCTCGCGCGCCGCGGCGCCGCGCCGTGCCATTTCCATGGCCGTAAACAATGAAATTGCAAAACCGCGCAAACCGCTCACACTGCGAACCGCGCGCCGCCGCCCCTGCATTTATCGGCCCTGAAAAGCGCGCTTGATGGGCGATATAAATGCCCCGGCTATGGCGGCGCGTGCACCAACGTAGGGCGAACACGACGGGTGCGCCGCTGGCTGCTCGGTGGGAGGTCCGCGCTCCTGCGGGGCCGGCGACGCGCGGGGGGAGGGCGGCGTCGGGCGCCGACGCCCTGCCGCGCCCCGCCGCACGCCCGATGGGCCCCCCCCCCCCCCGCGCCCCGAGCAGCCCGCGCGCGCGTTGCGCCCGCGCCCCTCCAGCCCGATGCACGCAACCAAGCGCTAGGCCGCAGCTTCCCCCTCGGAGGAATCGGAATGCTCCACCGCGTGCTCGGCAGCGAGCATTCCGCCGGTCGTCTTCGCCGACGCGTAGGCGAAAGCGGCGACGGAACGCCGCCCGCCCTGCGCGAATAGCGCGGCGGCGCCACCTCCGCAGCAGAAGTTGCGGCGCTGGCACCCGCGCGCGCTGTCCGCCGCGCCTTCTCGGAGCATCTCGCCCCCTCGCCCCTTGCGAAAGCAATGCGTTCCCCACTCAGCCGCCCTGGGAAGCCCTAAGCGCATTGCGCCGAGCTTGACCTGCGACGCAGCGCCCCCCGCGCGCGACTCCCCCGAGCCGGGCGGGGCCGCGCCGTCGCCAGGGCATCGCGATACGACACGTCCGGGAATATCAGCGACCTAGGCCCAGACCACCGCGCATGGAGGATGCACACCCCGCAAAGGCGGCGGCCTCAACATGGGCAACCGCTCGCCGAATGCGCGTGGGAACGAACCGCGGAGGCGCGCCTTGCAAGGGGCAGACGCAGACCCGCCAAACCTGGTCCGGGCCCCTGTGGCACTTCCAATCAACCAGCTCGATGCATGCCTTGCGGGTGCCTTTCTCTGTGCATACCTGCCGCGCCGTTCCCGCGGGCGCCGCGGCCCTGCGGGGTTGCCGCCCCCCCGGGGCGCGCGCGCCAGGACGGGCGAGTGGCCCGCGGCATTGAGCCCCGCCAATTCTGAGCCGAAGCGCAAGCAGAACTGGCGGGCGACGACGAAAGCATCTGGCGCGCGGCGCGCCTTCGCCCGCCTAGCGCCCACCCACCCCCGCCGGCGCAGCGGGCGGGCGGGCCCGCCTGCAATGTCCTCGCGCCCGGCATCGCTGCGGGCCCACTGGGCCAAATCGCGGGCCCCCGAGCAACCGAGACGCCGGGCGGGAGAAGACCGGGGCCCCAGGGGGCGCGCCTGGACGGCCGTGGCCCTAGACTTGTACCTGCCTCCATCGCGCGCCGCCCGCTTCAACGCCCCCCGAGACAAGCCCCCGGCGAGCGCGAGCGCCCCCGCGTCACCGCGGATCGCGGCCAGGACCGAGCGCACCCGGCTCACATGCTGGACCAGACTCCCGGCACAGCGGCAGATTAC